ATCGGAAAATCATTGAAATAATAACAAAATACCTTTGACACCACATGCAGAGTGTTGATTCACTCAGTAAAAACCTCCAAAATTTCTATTTGGCAATAAGCATGATACCTGGGGAAGAGGTAAACACACAGACACACATAATGGATACCAGTATAGGTATTTATCTGCACTTGTTTGTTTCTTGCTTTCCTCATAGTTCGATGTTTTCCATAGTGTTACTGTGACTGCCGTCTTCCTGAGAAGTTTGAGGTGTATAGGAATGAAAGCTGAAAACATGAATATATTTGAGCACACACTGCAGGGATCACTTAATTTGGACAGCTTTTATTTCTACAAGACTGATTTTCCTAAGCCTAAACTCTGTTGTTCTCGTGTATATCTTACGTACCCCACAGAGGCATTCCCGTAGCCAATTTGTGTCTTCCCATGAAGACCCAAAAGTGGGATTTTCTCATTTCTCTGTAGAAGTACAAGTGTCCTTTGTTTAAATTTTTTTAAATTAAATCATTTATCCACTTGACAGAGAACTTGGCTTTTTTTTCTTTTTCCCTCCTCACATTTACCTACAGTGTCAACACAACCAAGAGATCTTCAGACACAAGAAACTGAGCAGGAAATAGATGACTTTGAAACATCAAGGAATCCAACCTCAGAAAAACTCATAGAAGTATTCTCCTGCCCTCCATGCCTACACGTCACCCAAAGGTTTGTTCATGCACTATAAACCCCCCCAACTTCAAAGACCATGGATCGCAGCTGAGGAATGAGGAGATGTAGACCTGTTAGCCAAACAATGCAGCTTTCACCCCATGAATTATTCTTGACACTGGCAATGAAGTTGTTGCAAGCACTCTGAGCTATCAGCTTTGACTTTTACATAATTCTGTGTCTTGACCATTCTTTGTTCAAGCAATTTCTGCAACACGGGAAAGCAGTCAGCTGTTTTCCCTTTCCGGCCATTAGCCCAAAGAGATAGCATCTTCAGTATCCATGCAAGTACCTCACATCTACTCACCTACAAGTTGATCTGGTAGGTAAGAGCGTCTGTCCCCAGGTCACACCAAAGTGTTCATTATTACAGGCTCAGACAGGATAGCTTTGTTTCCTGGGGTGTTTGTGGATCGGGCCTCAAGCTCTTACTGCCCAACCAAGACCCTTTGCAGTTGGAGTCAGCATGCAATAGAATAGTTACACTGAAAAATACATCTCTGTTCTGCAACACAGGCAAAATACACTAACTTGTCCATGCACCCAGTCTAGCAGCCATTAGCAGTGCCAATCATGGCATCTATCTTCTGAACTTATGACAACTTACAGGAAATGACCAAAACTATCAAAAAAAATAAAGATCCATTAGATCAAGAAAGCAAGATACAGCAGCATTTGAAAGGAGATTCCCCTTTATTGCTGCATTATTAAATCACAAAGCGCCAGGCCACATTAATACATTGCTTACCACTGCAGGTTTTCTTCTGCCTTCACCTATGCAAGAGAAGACTCATGAATTTATTATTATTTTGGTATATGCATCCCCTGCTGCATGCATCACTCTGAAAAGCATGCTATCCTGTGCAGTCCCGTGGGAAGGATACATCTGGTTCCCATCAACAGCATTTCATTTATTGATTTTTTTTTCTTTAGTACACTGTTTATATTGGAAAGGTAGTCAAGAGACTTGTTTCTCTACTGCGCCAAACATACTTTCATTATTATTTCTTAATGCATTAAAGCGACCCAGGAATTGGCTTGTTTTGTGGTCCCCAGCAACTCATTGAATCTCTTTTTGCTGTTTCTTATACGAAAAAAATAGATGATAATCCTTCCGTTGTAGCAACATAGTGAGAATAAAGGTGTGTGAAACTTGTAGCAGGGATGGAAGAAGAAAGTGCTAAGCTGAGAGATTTGTTTCCCCAGTCATTCCCATTGTAAGAAGAGAAATACAAAGAAGAAGGGTACCAGACTTTGTATAAACTGCTGTGGCATATTGTTTAGTTGTCAAGTGTATCCCCTATGGAACAAGTTAACACACACTCTAAAGGATATTTTATTTTTGCATTGGCTGCCGACCATCATGTGCTTTTTTTTGGGCTTCCAGAAATATTATAGCTAGATTTCAAAACACACAGTCTGCGCAAGCTAAGTAATAAAACTGGGGAAGCAGATGGGAAGGGCAATATTTTGAACATTATTGTAACCATTCACGGCTTGGTAAAATCAAATGAACTCCTTTCAGCCCACGTGGCCTTGGGGGTACTGACAAGCCTTACACAAAATAGTCAAAGTCTGCAGCAAGGAATGGGCGGATTTGGACCTCAACCCTCTGCTGGACTCCTGCTGCTGTGCAAGATGGATTGCCAGATGAGGTAATTTTCTGCATGTTCAAGAGTCCTTGATGACTAGGAAGTTTTCCTCAGCATGCTTTCAATGTTGTGGAACTGCAGCCTTCTTGCTATATCTAAGGGAGTCTCCCCATCCTGAAAGAAACAGATGAAATACATTGCAATATGATAGATATGGGTGAAGTACAAAGAGCTTCTGCAAATTTGCCACCCAGATGCAGTGCTTTCCTGCGTACGTTTCACTGTCACATCCTTGCTCTGAAACAAAGGTTTCAGAACGTGCTGGGTCCAATACCACTCTCACTGAAGCCAGAGGCAGAGTCCTGTCCTCCCCTCCAGCAGTGACAGCCATTCCACTGTTTCCTGGGGCTAATGTCCAAAGTCAGTGCAGAGCTAAGCTAAGAGCTGATTTCAAGAGCAACTTGGGCGATATATTGTTCACCTCAACACAGTAATGCAGATACTCCCAATATTTATTTGGACAACATTTGAGCTTTTCTGATGACAGAAGCAGCTTGACTTAGCCCCTGTCCTGGTTTCAGCTGGGATAGGGTTAAATTTCTTGCTAGTGCTGTGTTTTGGATTTAGTATGAGGAGAATGTTGATAACACACTGATGTTTTCAGTTGTTGCTAAGTACCCTCCTGCTCCAAGGACAGCTCCCATATCTACTGACT